TTTCCATTGATGATATCTAGGCTCTTTCAAATATTGGTTAATATCAATGGCACAACAATAAATATGATTGAGTAAGTTTGTCTAGTAGTATGTAGAGTCCTTTGGGTATATGCTCCATTGTGGCATAGCAGGATATTGAGGAAGATCTGAAATTTTAATTTCTTAAACCTTATTTGTAATGATGGTTTTGAAATTCTATAACCTCTCATGTAGCACACCACCCACGAGAGGTAGTGAAAAAGAAAGGATAACATGGGCTGGGATAGTAGGATTGTTTAGAAAGCTTCTTTGGTACAGCTCTCTTCTGTATTGTCTGGAAATCAGTAGTTTAGTTGAGAGTTTAGCAGGCAATGACAACTTGATCTAGTCACAAACACACACACACACACACACACATACACATATATATATGTATGTATATATCAGTGGTATAGCTCCATAGAGTTGGGATAGCAACAATGGTGACACAACCTAGCAGAGACAGACATGCCTCAGTCTTGGGTAGAGTCAGCAGGAAAGATCAGCAGGAACACCAGTAGAAGTTTTTAGCTATGTCTTTCTCAGGAAACAAATATCAGCAGGGACACTAGACCCACAAATGTACAACTAGCTCTATAAGCAAGTCTAGCTCTGCCTCTGTCACTTTGTCACTCCTATTTATGCCCTCCAAACATCATGTGCCATCTATGTGTCTTGCCTCAGCATGAGAATTTAATTAGCCTGAGTCCAAGGAGTCACGAAAAACGTAGCACAACTATGTAATGTAAGTCACACCAATATATGTGTGTTATTAGCAAAGAATCTTAATCATGTGTCTTTCATTTGTTCTTCAGGGATGCATAATGTTCAAGATTCACAGTATAGGCACATGGAATGAAATAAGTCAAGTCCCCATTCCTGTGTAAACTTTGGCTCCTATGGAATAGTGTATCTTTGATCTTTCTGACATAGTTTTGTGTGGGGAAAAAAATTAGAGGGCCACAGCAGTGGAATCCCGGAGGCTTCCACGTGCTGTGAGTCCCACATGTGGCAGGAGATCTAACATTCCAGCAGCCTGAGGCTTTGGTGACAGCAGGCCCCAATAACATGAGGAGGTCCTTGGTTCCAAAAGGGTTTATTGTCATGGCAGATGGTAGATGGATCTGGCTGTACCCCCCATAAAACTCAGGGCAGTCCCGAGTTTTATAGGGAGGGAGAAAGGGGGAGGATTGGGGGAAGATCTGGGGAGGCATGCTTAATTTGCTCTGCCCTCTGGCCTTCATTAGTATGTAAATCCCTAGGGCCTGAGGCCTCTAGTCACACTCTGTACCTGTGCACTTTGGGAGGGTCTGTCTGGCCTACGTGACTGAACAATGTAATTCTATGGAGACTAGACTGCTTTTAAGGACCCTGGGTTCTGGGGTCACGCCGAATTCCTGCTGGTTCTCACGCAGAATCTTGGGGTTCTAGGCACTTGCCCAGCCATGAACCAGAATGCCCTTACGCAGTCCCACAGTTTTGAATTCAACGATAAACACAGATGTCTCAGAGAACCTGGTTTCTACATAACCACAATGATTCCAGCTGATTTGATACCCAGATGCACAGGAGCCAAATGCCATAATCAAGGTAGTAATACCTGCTTGTTCAGAAAGTCTACAATGTAAGATCCAACCAACAGGCAGAGATAAAGCTCAGATTCATGAAACTTCTTCTGTGCAAACCTGGAGTATGCATTTCTGTATTGGTCATACAACATATGTCCATATTTATGGTCTACAGAATTATTTGGATTCATATATTTGCTGAATAACTAGGTTAAGCACAAATACTTTCCCCTACATTTGGTTCTTTAATAATATACCCTTGGTTTGTATAGACTTCAGTTACCATAATGGTGTAGAACACTCAATCTAGTACCACAGAGTATACCTATGCAGATGTTCCATATCCCCCTCTGCACTTATCACATTCCATGCATCTATACTTAAATTATGTAGTTAATGTGTTTTCCATCCTTGAGGAATGATGAAGTGGGAGTTTTTTGTTTCTGTATATTAATATTGTTCTCCAGTTCTGTGAGTGGCAACATAATGACCTCTATTATTAGTGGTACTGATGTGTGTGTGTGTGTGTGTCCATCTACAATCCTGAATTTTATTTCCATATAGTTAATTTAACTTTGTAAATTAATGTTTTAAATTCATTTTAACAGATAACTAGAAATATTCCTTCATCAGAAACAGAGGCAGAATCCATGAGGCTTCAACTTTCTCTGGAAAATCACTGGCAAATAATGGTTGTTGGGAATGTTACGCCATTTTCCTCATTAGTATACTTATTGGTAAGTATTCAACACTCTAACCCACACTCAGTTTTTAAATTCTGATTAAATTCATTGGGTTACAAAGTAAAAGACTTTTAAAAAATGTACTGTCTGGCTTTATGTTTCAACTTAGCATAATCTAAAGTCATCAGAAAAGAAAGAGCCTCAGTTGAAGAAATATCTCTATGAGACCCAACTGTAATGCATTTTCTCAATTAGTGATCAATGATAAAGGACCAAGTTCACTGTGGGTAATATCATTGCTGGGATGGTAATCTTAGGTTTTATTAAAAAGTAGGTTGAGCATACTGTATAGAGCAAGCCAAGAAGCAGCACCCTCCATGACTTCTGTATCAGCTCCTGTATTTAGGTTCCAGTTCTTCTGGAGATCCTGTCATGATTTCCTACAGTGGTTAACTATGATTGGAAAGTGTAAGCCAAACTTGCTTTTTGGTCATTCTGTTTAATCACAGATATAGAATCCTTCTGTATATATGTAATAAATAGAAGACCAGATGATACACTCAGCCTTGTTGGACAGAGAACCTAGTAGATTCTTAGAATGTCCATTCATATCTAGCCATTGTTGCACTAGTTGAACTGCAGCCTGCAATGCAGTTATTTTTTAGAGTGGTTTGTTTCCGTGTTGAGACTTCCTTAAGGAAAGGTAACGTTTCGTTTTCAAATGGCTTTTAGAATTTATACGTGATCACAAACATCTTTGCAAAATATTGTTCCAGTTGTGGTATAAGTGTATGCTCTCATTATCATCAATGTGGGAGGAAATCTGAGTCTTCATTATCAATTAAAATCAAAGACAGATTAACAAGGAAACGTTTACATATATTGAGAATAAATTCACAATAGAGGGCAGCCAGATCAGGGAGCTGAGAAGCCACACTAGATACACCAGGAAAGATACCACCCTGGAAACACAGTAAGACATCCTTTAGATCAAGAAAGCCTGGACTTTGAGTTGAGTGCATAGCTGTCAGAACTTAAATTTTCTAATTAGACAGAGAAACAGAAGACCCAAAATGAACATCATTAATAGAAATAATTTGATTAATTTTTCAATTATATGACTTTTTATCCTTATATGTGAAGTCCTCAAGAAGAAGAGAATATAGTGAATAACTCACAATATTTATCTGACTGAACATAATTTCTCCTTCCACTTGTTTCCCTCTAAATTGCTAATACTCTTTCAGTCAGTCTGACTTGACCACTGATATAAAGGAAAAGTCAATCTGAGATACTGAGCCTTCCCAGAAACTGATCCTGGTGACCACAGAGAATCATTCCTTCACTCAGATTTACTTTCTGCCTTTTTTCTTTTCTTTTTTTTCTTTTTTTTTTTTTGAGTAGGAGGATTAGGTGATTAGTTTTAAAACATGGTCAGAATAAAGAATGGAAACAGGCAATTTCAGGAGGTAGGAGGTTGGGGGGACCTTCCAGAATATACCAGAGACCTGGGATGTGAGAGGCTCTCAGGACTCAAAGGGGACCTTAGATGAAATGCACTACAGTGAGGAGAGGGAACTTGTAGAGACCACCTCCAGCAGAAAGACAGGGCATCAAGTAAGGAGTGAGGTTGCCATCACACAGTCAAAATTCTGACTCATAATTGTCCCTGTCTGAAAGAACTGAAGGGATGGAAATAAAGAGGAGTCTGAGGAAATAAAGGTTCATCCACAGATCCAAAGTGGGATCCAGCTCAGAGGGGAGGTCCCAAGACCTGACACTATTACTGAGGCTATGGAATGCTCACAAAAATGGGACATATTATGACTGCCTCCTGAAAGACCTAACAAGCAGCTGAAAAAATCTTTTTTTCTTTTACTCTTTTTTTTAATTGGTTGTTTGATTTACACTTCATAAGTTGTACCCTTACTCCATCCCCCACCGACCCAGGAACCCCCTATCCCCTCTCCCTTCCTCCTGCTTCTCTGCGGGTGTACCCCTACCTACCTCCACACCCTCAAATTCCAACCCCCTGGGGCGTCCAGCCTTCATGAGGCCAAGGATCTCTTCTCCCACCTATGCCCAAAAGTCTTATGTACATATTTGCACCCAAAAAAGGTGGACAGAGGCTGTTGACCCATGTAGCTGAATTAGGGAAAAGCTGGAAGAAGCTGAGGAGGAGGGCTACCCTGTAGGAGGACCAGCAGTCTCAATTAACCTTGACCCCCGAGATCTCTCAGACACTGGAACACCAACCAGGCAGCATACATCAGCTGATATGAGGCCCCTGTCACATAAACAGCAGAGGACTGCCAGGTCTAGGTTCAGTCAGATATGATGCACCTAAACCACAAGAGACTGGAGGCCCCAGGGAGTTTAGAGGTTTGGTGAGGTAAAGGGTGGGGGAAAGTGGGGAAAGTGGGAACATAGTCTTGGAGACAGGCAGAGTGGTGGGGAGAGATATGGAATGTGGAACAATGGGACAGTGGACCAGAAGGGGAATAAAATTTGTTTTGTAAAAAAAAAAGATTAAATAAAAAGGAATATAAAATATATATAAGTTTTAACTGAAAAAAAAAAGAACTATGTCACTCAAAACAGTAAATTCTATACTTAATTTTCGAGACATGATCAATTTCTCAAATCTATAACTGTAAAAATGACCTCCCACAAAGACAACAGATAGAGAAAGAGCCAAGATACCACAGTAAAATATCAATTTTGTCTAAAGCTACATCAGAGCTGATCTGGGCTCTGTGTGTACTGAGCGCCTCCTGCTGGTCATGCGTACCTGAACTGGAGCTTTTTGCCGAGGCTCACACTGAAGATTTCCCACTGTGTCTGCCGTACAGTAATATGTGGCTGTGTCCTCAGTTTTCAGGTTGTTCATTTGCAGGTAGACCATGCTTTGAGAATCATCTCTGGAGATGGTGAATCTGTCCTTCACTGAATCAGCATAATATGTTGCATAATTATTACTTTTACTTCTTATGCGAGCAATCCATTCCAGACCCTTTCCTGGAGCCTGGCGGACCCAGTACATGGCAGCGTTAGTGAAGGTGAATCCAGAGGCTGCACAAGAGAGTTTCAATGACCCTTCAGGCTGCACCAATCCTCCACCAGACTCAATAAGCTTCACTTCACAATGCACACCTGCAAACAGAGAGGATTATGATCAAGAAACTGTCACACACACCCACTGTCACTCTCATCTTTAAATACTCATGCACACACTATTGTTTTTTATCCAAAATTACCTTGAATAAACACAACAAAGAAAACCCACGTCAGCCACAACACCATGTTCAATGTTCTATTGTCAGTGCTAAACACCGAATGGGAAGACAGGGCTAGAGTTCTCTGCCTGAACTTCAGGGTCAGGGTTGGGCTGGTTTTAATGAGCAGAAATAAGCTTTATTTGCATATCTTCCTGCTATATCTACTGCTCTGCTGCATGAACTTTAGGGACAGCAATGAATGGTACAAATGTCTGAGAGAACATGAAGTAATGTTACCATGATTTCAATAAAATATCATTCATTATGTGTTTGGAATACCATTTCTACAGCCTTAATTTGTTTTATATCTGTTTTAAACATTAATTTATTTTTGAAATTTTATGGGCATTTTTATTTTGTGTTTTGTGGGAGGTTGTCAGATTTCCTGGATCAAGAGTGGCGGAGAGTTGCAAGCTGTGATGTGTATCCTGGGAATTGAACCAGAGTCCTCTGGAAGACTTGCCACTACTTTAACCACTGAGCTATCTCCCCATCTCCATTTTTGTGGGCTTTTTTTTTTACACACTTTACTATTTATCTTACCAGATATTATAAAACAAATTTATTGAACTTTATAGAATAAATATTAAAATTTGATAATTTGAGAAGAACTAATGTAAAGAACAGTGGATAATGAAATATACATTAAAGTAATAAAACTGGAAAACAGACATAGGATGATGGGAATGGATAACATTAATAAGGCCTCAAGTTTACATGCATTATTGAAAAGGTAAAATATATTAAATAAACATGAATATACTCAGAGATAATTATTTTAGTTATAATGACTATTAAAAGTTTGTTTCTACATATATTGAATATTTTTGTTTTGGATTGTTAGGTAACATACATCCATGCTATCTTTTAATATATTCAATTAAGTATAGATATCTTTTGTATAATTAGCATAGGTAGGAGAACAGTTTTTATGTGGTCTGCAGAGCCATGGTTGAAGGTCCTCTGCTCACTCCAATCCCCCTACAAAGGTTGAACTTCTTTGGTGGTTTTGAGACTTCTCTCAATATTAGCACCCTTGATATATCAATCCTTGTACTAGAAAAAAAGAGGTGGGGACTAATTGCTTAATGTTGAAATTAATTATACCATTAGAGAAACAGTGTTTGTTATTGCTAAGAGGTTTAATGGACAGTGGCATTATTATTTATTGGCATTTGCAGGAAACAGATTTCGTATGAAGCAACAAAACACTAAAAAAAACTCTGTTGTCCTGAAGTGATTTCTACTTTGAGTCCTTTGATTACCAACTCATTTCTCTTGCAGATTTTGTTTACTTAACATAGTTATATGTGCCTATGTGAAAGGAGGAAATTCTGTGTGGATACAGTAATAACCTCTGCTGTACCCTCTTGGCACATGTTTCTAGGGTCCTGAATGGTTGATAAATGAAAATCACTTGCTAAATCTCATTCCCCATCCATCAAGACTGATCTGTTATGAGGATTTGTTTCTAAACCAGAACCTGGATAGTGGGCAGAAAATATCCTAAACTAGAATGTGTGTGTGTGTGTGTGTGTGTGTGTGTGTGTGTGTATCATCTGATGCATGGCTTCTCTTAAAATCTATCCCCATTTGCACACATATATGACATCATCTCAATGGAACATTCTCCAAAATTTGCCATATACACAATGAAAGGAATACTAAGAGAAAAGTTTCTACTATGAATGCCTTCCTAGAGAAATCATGGAGATCATGTACTACCTACTTTAAAGCACACCTAAAAACTCTAGAACAAAAGAAGGGGAAAAAAGGAGCAGATGGCAGAAAATAATCAAACTGGGGGCTGAAATAAATAAAATTAAAACAAGGAAAATAATGCAAAGAATCAGTGAACCAAGCAACTTTTTCCTCTGAGAAAATTAACCAAATTAAAAATCCTCTGTTCAAATTAACAAACAAAGAGAATATACAAATTGACAAAATCAAAAAAACCTGGGGGGTACTACATAATAACATACATCAAAAAGTTATTAGGAGAGAGTGAGCCTGACATGATGGTAAGAGAAATCTTGCAGCTGACTTGCTGTCGTCAAGGCCTCTTTTGATGCTCTGGCGTACTAGCAACCAGGTTCTTCTTTATTCATATTATTTTCACAGAACAGTGACATGTGAATAAATTTCCAAGTGGCACAGAATAAATGTCTGACTTGTCTTTATATGTCCAGGGTTATAAGTTCAATCATAATTAGGAATTACAAACAAAACAGATGATTCATATTTTTATTAGACCTATAACTCAAATTTAAAAATCTAAGGAATGTTACCTCTGCTTTTATGTCAGCAATGTTTTTTGTTTGAAATCACTCCAAATAAATATAAAATACATGAACCAGTCATTTTATGAATAGCAAATACTAATACCAAATTTCTTTTATTATATATTTTATCATCTATAATCTGAAGTCAGACAAGTATATTTCAGCCAATGTATCTTGTTTACTGAGTTCTATTCTTCCACAAGTATACTCTGTATGAAATCCTATTTTGAAACTATATCTAATATATAGCAGAGATATGTAACATTATAATAAACAGAGACATTGAACATGACACTTATTCTTCTGGCAAGTAAGAGTTTGTCAATTGTATCTATTTATCCTACATCAATTATATTGTTTGACTTAGCTCAAGAGCAGATACTCCAAGGAGATTCCTGGAGTAATGTACTCATCTAGCTATGTGCTTATTTATGTTATAATGGTCTCTAGGGCAAAAGGAAGACTTCCAATTAGTGGACAAATACCATTCATTTTAGGATTTTTCTAAAAAGAATCAGACATAATTTTTCTCATGTAGATTCATAAATTGAATCACAATGCAGAAAGTTTCCAATAATGCAAAACACCAAAACTGAAAAATTAGAGATAGAGGAATAGTCAGTATAGCAACCCACTCAGCTTCACTAAAACTGTGTCAAGCTGCTGTTCTGGCTTGATGACTCTTTCCCTTTCCAGTACTTATGATTGGGCAGCGAAAGTAGAAAGGTGGGACTGGAGGTTTGGTGTTGTATGTACATAGAGGAGTGAGGAAAATGAGAAGAAAGAAGTTGCTCTGTTGCAAAACTGCATGTTTAGGAACAAAAAGCAAATAACAAGTGCTATAGTGCTGGAATAGGGGCTTGTGTCTCAACATTACAACCCATCTGTCATAGGCCAGAAATAAAGTATAAACAAAATAAAGGTAAAACAAAAGCCATTACACAAAGATTGGACACATCAAATCAAGGAATGCAAAAATGAGAAAAGAGGAGGTACAAGATTCAGAGACCCATTTGTTCATACACTTACTTAGGAATCCTATAAAATAAATGATAATAAATACTGAAACCCGTGCAAGACATTATATTGAAATAGAGACCTTGGTACACACAGCTCTAAATAGAAAACTCCCCTCCCCTCAAAATACCTCCACTACTCAAAGCTCAGGGAAACCCACAGCTGATGAGAATGAAAAAGGGTGAGAGCCAGAGCAGATGGAGGACAACAGGAAGAAAAGACCATCTAATTCAACTGAACAAAGATCATGTGAACTAAAAAAGACTCATATAGCAAACACAGAACTTATACTGATCAACACCAGATCATATATATATATATATATGATCTCAATTTTGTACTACATTTTTTTATCTATTTTTTTCCATTGAAAACATCTAGGCTATTTCCAATTTTGGCTATATAAATAGAGCAGCAATTAATATGATTGAGCAAATGTCTCTAGTAGGATGTAGAGTCCTTTGGGTATATGCTCTAGAGGGGCAAAGCAGTCAACACTTTTACCCATACTCAGTCATGAAATTCTAATTAAATTCTTTGGGTTACAAAAAAAAGACAGATAATTTTACTGCAAATTAAACCACTTGGCACAAGCTAAAGTCATCAAAAAAGAAGGAGCCTCAGTTAAATACCTTCATGAGATCCAACTGTAATGCATTTTCTTAACTAGTGATCAATGGGGAAGGACATAGCCCATTGTGGGTGGTATTAGTGCAGAGTTGGTAGTCCTGATTTCTATTAAAAAGTAGACTGCGAAAGCCATATGAAGCAAGCCAGTAAGCAGAACCATCAATGACCTCTGCATTAGCTCCTGTCTCCAGATTCCAGTCCTGCTTGAGATCCTGTCCTGATTTCCTAAAATGATTGATTATGATATGAAAGTGTAAGACAAACTTCTTCTTTGGTCATTTTGTTTCATGACAGCAATAGAAACCTTATGTACATATGTCATTTATAGAAGAAGATCTTATACACTCAGCCTTGTTGAAACTTAGAATCTACTAGATTCTCTGGCTGTCCTTTCTTAGCTAGCCATTGTTACACTAGTTGAACTGCAGTCTGAAATTGGGCCATCTTTGAGTGGACTGTTTCCATGTTGAGACTTTCTTAAGGAAAGGCAACATTTCATTTTTAAATGGCTCTTAGAATTTATACATGATTATAAAATTCTTTACAAAATATTGTTCCAGTTGTGGTAAAAAGACATGTTAGCACTATGATCAACACAGGGTAGTCTGGGTCTTTATTGACAACTAAAATAAAAGATAGATTAACCAGGAAACTTTCAAGTATATTCAGAATAAATTCATAGCAGAGGGCGGCCAGATCAGAGAGTCAAGAATTCACACTAGAAACACATAGGAAGGATACTGCCCTGGACACACAGTAAGTCATCCATTAGCTCTAGAATGCCTGGACTCTGAGTTTAGTTTAGAAACTTGAATTTTCTAATTGGACAGAGAAACAGAAGGCACAACAATGTAACGAATTAATGGAATGAATTTGATTAAATTTTCAATTATATGCCTTTTTAGACTTTTATGTGCAGTCCTGAAAAAGAGAAAATTGTGGACAACCAACAGTGCTTACCTCTAACAGAGGCTGACTTCTCCTTTCACTTGTTTCCCTCTACATTGCTAATACTCTTTCTTGCTAATATTCTGACTTGACCCTTAGTATAAGGGAAAAGTCTATCCAGTCCTGAGCTTTCACTGAATCTAGTCCTGGTGCCCACAAAGAATCACTTCTACACTCAGATTTTCTTTCTGCCTTTTTTCA